CTGACACCTGATTTCTCATCAGAAACTCTATAGGCCAGAAGATTTCCTGGCATAGCATAAAGTACACAAGGTAATATCCAGAAAGGTTATCATTCAAAACAGATGGTCAAATAAAGAGCTTCCCAGACAAAAATGGAGTACATCACCACCAAGCCTGCATTACAAGAAATGCTAAAGGGGTTGCTGTAAGGAGAAGAAGAAACAAAGAGAGAAACCTAGCCATACAGAATTAAAATGGCTATAAATAAGTACCTCTCAATAATAACCCTAAATGTAAATAGATTAAATGTTCCGATCAAAAGGCATGGGTATCTGAATGGATAGGACCCAACTATATGCTGTCTACAAAAGACCCACCTCAAAACAAAAGGCACCACTGGATGAAAGTGAAGGTATGGAAAAATGTTTTCTATGCAAATGGAAAAGAAAAAAAAAAAAAAGCTGGAGTAGCAAAATTCATATCCAAAAAAATAGACTTCAAAATGAAGACCAAAACAAGAGACAACAAAGGTCACTATAAAATGCTAAATGGATCAATCCAACAAGAGGATATAACTCTGGTAAACATCTTCAAGAGAGAGAAAAACAGTAGGAGACTTTAACACCCTGCTGACTTCACTCGATAGTTCTTCCAGACAAAAATCAGATGAATTTAACTGACATTTATAGAACATTTCACCCCAAAGCTGCAGAATATACATTCTTCTCAAGCGCACTTGGATCATTCACAAAGATAGACCACCTGTTAGGACACAAGTCTCTACAAGCCCAAGAAAATTGAAATCCTATCAAGCATCTTCTCAGATCACAGTGGAATGAAATTAGAAATCAACTACAGTAAAAACACCCCAAAACATTAAAATACATGGCGTCTAGTTATGTATTTAGAGAAATAAATACTATTTTAAATAAATGGCCAAAAAAATGTGACTTAGTGATCACTCAAATCTAAGAGTGATTTTTAGTTTTTAAAACTATTTTAAGAATAAATGTTCACACAGAAAACTAATAAAACCCTAACAGCCTAATAAAATAAAATATAAATAGCCATAAATTAGTTTATATTGTATTGATAACACCTAATAGTCTTCATATTTCTAGAACTGTATTCTAAACAATTAAAACAAACAAAATGCATAGCATGCCAACAGGGAGAAGAGCGTTTAAAAGGTAGAAAAATTTACTAGAAAAAGTTAAATGTAGAAATATTGGCATGAATCATGACCTTAAAATATTAACAAAATGTAACTGAAAACAAGCTAAAACCCAGTAAATCATTTTTGTTTTTCATAAGCAGATCAGATTAAGGAGTATGAAAGATGAAAATGCAGAGCAGAGGGTTTTTAGGGTATGAAAATACTCTATATGATGCTATAATAATAGATATATATTATTAAAATTCGTCCAAATGTAAAATATGCACAAAACCAAGAATTACCTAATGTAAACTATAAACTTTGAGTGATAATGATGTGTCAGTATAGTTCGTGAACAGTTAATGTGCCACTCTGGTGGGGAATGCTGATAACGAAGGAAATTACGCATGGGTAGGTAGGAGCAAGGGTTATATGAGACATCTCCATACCTTCCACTTCAATTTTGCTGTAAATCTAAAAGTACTATTTAAAAAAATAAAGTCTATTGCCCTGGATGATATGACTAGGTTGGTTAGGTCATACTGTGCTCCAAAAAGTTGCCTGTTCAATTCCCAGTCAGGGCACACACCTGGATTGCCTGATAGGGAATAACAGGATGCAGCAAATCAATGTCTTGCTCTCACAAAGATGTTTCTCTCTCTTTAAAAATCAATTAAAAATGCATTTTTTAAAGTAAAGTCTATTAAAGGGGTAAACAGGTCAGAAAAGTTATAACCCTTTGCTAACAGAGGAGACTATTTTTTAAAATATATAGTACTTATACCGATAATTAGCAGTTTTAAATAGACTGAAAACTACATGATAAAGCTCACATGATACTTTAGCTCTGGATTTATATTTGAAACACTTTTCTTTCAGCATTTTTAAGTGATATCACCTAACATCCTTAGTCAGCTTGTTTAAATAAATTATATTCAAAACCCCTCCTGTTCATATAAATACCCTGTTTCCCCGAAAATAAGACAATGTCTTATTTAATTTTTGCTCCCAAAGATGCGCTAGATCTTATTTTCAGGGGATGGCTTATTTTTCCATGAAGAAGAATACGGTACACATTTATTGTTAAATGAAAATAAAGGAAATTTATTACCTGTATACGGTACAGTAGTACAGTAGTTGTCAACACAAATCAGACAAACTGTGGATCCTACAGTATCAAGAATTTACTCATTTATTCAATGACAATCATGTCATCATCTTCTGGAACATCGTCATAACAATCCAACTCCTGAATTTACTAGTGAATTTCTTGTGATTCCATTTCTTTCAGAATCAGTGGACCAAATCTCTCATGTTTAGCCTGGGGGGGGGGGTGCCTTATATTTCACTTATATTTCAAGGGGATGCCTTATATTTCACTCAGAAGGAAACCTGTAAGTAGGTCTTATTTTCGGAGGATGTCTTATTTTCGGGGAAACATGGTTATGCCTTCTAGACACAAATTATCTATCCTCCTCAAAAGTCTATTAAGGTTCTACTATACTTAGTACACTTAGAAAATACAAAAAATTCCTTATACTCAAGATCTCTTCTTCTGAGGTCTTTCAATCCAGTCCCGGTAAAAGAACAAAATGTCCAAAGTAGGATACCCCAAGCACTCAAGTGGTACAGATCTTCAGCCAGTCTGTCCTATTCTCTCCTTCTGGGAATGCTTTTCTCCTGGCTAGGTCCTTCTCATCTTTCAACTTCAATATAAATGCTATCTCCTCAGAAATATTAAGAGTGATGAGAAAGAAAGGCTTAATGGCAGTAATAATTGTAATTGTTAACACCTTTATGCCTAAGTGACAGTCATCTCACAAATAAAAACCAAACAAAATACATTAGAGGACAGAAATAACCACCTCCTCCTTCTATTTTTATCATAGCAACCTATTCCTTTTCTTCATTGCTGGGTGTTTTTTCAAAACTGTAATTATATATTTGGTTTCTTATTTACTAGTTTACTTTTCAGTCTGGTATTTACTGTATCCAATACCAGACTGAACACTCCATATGGACACAGACTCCACTGTATTACCAGTGATTAGCAGAGCATTCAATAAACAATGATTAAAGGAATGCATAGGGCTGGTATCCAGGAGAAGGGAATGAGCTAGAGCAACGATTTTCAACCCGTGTGCCACAACAATATTTAAAACATGCAACACCTGACTCTTGAGACAGGGGCACTGAGCTCTTTTCCCAGAGATGTTAAATTTAAAAAATGACAACAGCTAACACAATAGCTGCCCAGTGTGAATGAATCAAAATTATATATATTTTTTTTCAGATGAGCAAAATATATAAAATCTTTTTTGGTGTGCTGCAGAAGTTTAGTAATTAGTTTATGTGTGCCATGAGATCAGAAAAGTTAAAAATTGCTGGGCTAGAGATATTGGAGTAGAGGTAATAACTTACCTATGAAAACTGGTCACATCATTTGTGGGGAGCATGCGGTGTTTGAAGAGAATTTAGAATCATGACCTGAAGTGCAACATTCAGAGTTAAAGCAAAACAGGCAAAGAACACTCGGGCAGATAAACCAAAGGGAAGCCACAGAAAAAGTGTTTCAAGAAGTGACTATTGCCCTACTTGGTTTGGCTCATTCACCTGCGAACTAAAGGGTCCCAGATTCCATTCCAGTCAAGGACATGCACTTTGGTTGCAGGCTCCTCCTGGGCCTGGGCCCTGGTCTGGGTGTGTGCAGGAGGCAACCAATCCATGTGTTTCTCTCACATCAATATTGCTGTCTGTCTGTTATTCTCTCTTCCACTCTCTCAAAAAATCAATGGGAAAAAAATATCTTCAGATGAGGAGTTAAAATAAATAAATAAAAATAAAGTGACTGTAAATTTTTTTAGTACATTATTATTTTAAAAATGAGTATTCAACTGCAGAATGCTGCCAAAAAGCCTAGTAAAACGCGGACAGAAAAGGATGCATTGGATTTCACCTCATGGATATTACTGGTGACTTTAGTGAGAGCCATTCCGGTGACAGAGTGTAGTGTGATTGTAAGTGACCAAGCAGGGGCACTATCTAATAGTGAAATTGTGACAGGCCACAGTGAGATAGGTGATAGATGGAGACCTTCATCTAACCCAGGAAAATGATCCAGAACACCCAGGACATAAAGAGAATCGTGTATCTCAATAGCAAAAAGTTCAAACAAGCGGGGAAAGCAATCCTCCCTCCCGTGTACCAGCCCAAGGGAGTACTCCTGGAAAATACCTGGGCGACTGCGCCCATTGTGAGCACTCAATCATGTTAGTTGGTGGTGGGGGTGGGGGTGGGGGTGCTGCTTTTGCAGTCAATAATCTCGTCGTTGGCCTGTAAGAGACCACCCAGCTCTGTTTTATCCACGCCTGCATCCCCCAGGACCCGGCACGGCGCCTGGCCCACAGGGGGTGCTCCATGAATATTTCTGAGGGAGTTTAGAATTCTGACTGTAACCTTAACGCCTCTCCTAGCCACTTGGGTTGTTTCTGTCCTCCCGTGCATTCTGCTTTGTTTTTTACGTGTGAGATGACCGTCACTTATGCATAAAGGTGTTCACGGTCACAAGTACGACCGCCACGAAGCCTTTCTTTCCCATCCTCGCTGGGAAGTTGCAGGACCGCAGACCCGAGGGGGCGGCTTCTCCCGTGACGCGCTCGGGGTCCTGCGGGCAGAGAGGCTGCACAACCCCGAACCCAGAGAAGCGGCTCCCGGCTGAAGAGCAGGGACCAGGATGCGGCCGGACTGCAAGCGCAGCCAGGGGCCCGCACCCTAGAGCGCCGAGAAGCCAGAGCCAGCGGAGCGCCCCGCCCCGCCCCGGGTCCTTCCCCCGCCCCCCGCCTCCTCCCCTCCCTCCCCCGGCACCTGCACCGGCTGCACTCCGGCCTCCGCTCCGCCGGCTCCACCGGCAGCGCCCACAGCCCGTCCGCACCGGCGTCCGCCTCCTCGCCCAGGGCCGCCGCCGGCGCCTCGCCGCCCTCCCGCCGCGCCTCCTCCTGCGGCGCCTGGGGCTGCGAGGCCGGCGGCGGCGCGGCCTGGTCCCGGGCTGTTCGCGCCTCTTTCTGCGGGTCCATGGCCGGGACGCGGCTCCGGCTGTCTCACGGAGTCCCCGCTGCCGCCAGGGGGCGCCACACGCTAGAGAACCCGGCTCGCGCGGCGCGCCGCCACGCACGCACGCACGCACGCACGCCACGTCCGGGGGCGGGCCTCCGAAGTTTACGCCCCCATGGTCCCGCCCCTCAGCGCAGAAGGCAGGAGCCCAAGGGTCCAGGTCCACTGCAACCTTTCACCTAGGACTGGACTGGGAAGTGTGGGTGGTCCGGGGGAAGCTGAAGTTAGGTTTGCATCCTGGGGCAGGTGAAGGAATGCCCTTTGAAAACACCAGTGGATCGTCCTTAAGGTCCCTTCTCTAAAAGTGAAAATAAGATGGAATTCAGCCTCTTCCGCCTTAGCATGGCCCCTGAGGAATTGGCTGGGGGAGTGTTCACAGCAGTTGCAGCAGCTGATGAACGTGATAGCTAAAGGCCAACCCAGGAGACGCACTCACTGAAAACTGGATTCACTCTTGCCTGATTCATGCGAATTTCTTACTCTAGAAAGGCAGGGGCCTGTGTCCTGTATCTTGTACTAGATATTTCTCCCAGCATCAAGCGTACAGTAGACACCAAGTATTTGCTAAAGGAGGTTTTAAATTTTCCAAGGCCCCTAAGATCAGGAGGCTATAGAAGGGTTGAAATTTTATGGATGGGGGCGGGGGGAGGGGGTAGCCATAGAAAGAAAACTACCTTGCCCAAGTTTTTACAGCTCCTGGGTAACAGCAGCAGAGCCCGCAGTTGTTTAAAAGCCAAAATGAAGTCCACCTTAGAATGAAAGAGGAAATTCTACTTGCCCAAAATGATACTGCTTCTTTTCATTTATTAATACTTTTAATTTATGTTACTTCCACCAATAAAGTAGAGTTACCACTAACAGTAATAGAGCAATTTTGTATTTCTTAAAAGTGTTTATTTCACTATTCGGTTTTCAGTAATGTAAAGTCAAGTGTGTGAATAGACTAGAGGGCTGTTTTCAACTATCTGGTATTCTCTTCCCCTGCAAACAGCAGGCATCATTTCTTTTGGACTGCTGCTGTAAGGAGGGATAAGCAAAGGCTGAAGCATGCACGGGTGATAGATGTAGGATAAGAGAAAGAACTGGCACTTGTGCCAGCTGGATTTGTAAGATAATCAAAACCCAAAGACTGTAGAAAAGGAGATGAATCAAAAATAAATATTGGCTGTAGATTTAGGTTGGATAACCAAGTCTTTAACTACTAAAATTAAATGCTCACGTGTGACAACCTTTATACTCTCATTTCCAGTTTCAAAATGTGAAATGTTCCCTTTAGGTCATTTATGGTCCCTTTGAACTCCCAATTATGAGGTATGTGAAGGCAGGTGAGTCCTGACAAACCTACTTATCCTTGACTTAACACCCCATGTCAAATCACTGGTTCTATCTACCCTTCAAAGTATTCAAAATGCAACCATTTATCACTTCTTCTGCGCTGGTTCAAGTCCCATCATCTCTTGCTTAGGATTTTACCATAGGGTCATAAGTGCTCCCTTGCTCCAACCTTGTTTCTGAATAACCTATTTCCCAGAGATTGATCAGAATCAAAGAACCGAATTGGGAGAGAAAGAAAAAAAAAAAGTTGTTTCCCTGTATGGAAAGCAAGAAATTCACCCAATATCCAGCTTTAAGAAGGCTGACATTAAAAGCCTGGGGAAGTGTATTACCCACCCAGCTGGCTGCTACTTTATGTAAGGTTACTAGCTTGAGGCAGACCCTCAGTGAGAGGGTCTTTATTCTTTACTTAAGAATAAAGACCATCAGTGACCCAACCTCTGGGAAATGCCAAGATACCAAGATGGGGAGCCAAAGTCCTTTAAGGGATACAACCAATTTGTCAGTGCAGGAATATGGTTATTTACTTGCTGGCTGTCAACAGAGGGCTGTTCCCATCTTCTAGAGGGAACCCATGTTCCTTGACTTGTAGGGAAGGCAAACCGTTATCTTCATTAAACTTCTTAGGGTTCCTTTTGGCTGGGTTTGAGAATTAAATTGACATAATACAAATCAACAGAAGAAAAGCATACACATTTACTTAACAAGCTTTTCATGACTTGAGAGCTTTCATGAGGCACAAAGACCCAAAGAAATTGTGAAACCAATACACTTTTATATTAGAACAAAGAGAAGCAAATGTGAAAAAGTGACTCAGCTATGTGGGCAGGCTTAAGGAAGATAAGAATTATGTTAACAAGCTCTATTTATATAGAATTCTCTTTATCTCAACTTCTTGCCCTTGATGATTAGTACGTATTTTCCTTATGGTATAGGGAGGGCATCTTTCATATAGATATTTCATCCACTGCTTTTAAAGAAAATCTAAGTATTTTTCTTATATTTGCTGTTTTTCAAGAGCTTTAAAGACAAAATAGTCAATATACCAGAGCAACATATATTTGGGTTAGCATATTCTAAACTTCTTCTGGCTCATGATCCCCATGCTACATCATCAACGCCAGTAGTGGCATATTGAGTCCCTCTCATGATTCGAATCTCTCCTGCCTCTTCCTAATAGTCGCATCTGTCTGACTTCCTTTTCTACTTCCATTTCCACCCAAGTAACCAAGTATAGTCTCCCTATTTTGCTAACTGCTTAGCAACCTAATTCCATCTGCAACCTTAATTCCATTTTGTTGTGTAAAGTAACATAGACATAGACATAACACCATGGAATGCAGAGCATGAGGGCACAAATCTTGCCTTCCACTTTTGCACATCTAAAGTTTAAGGTTGCAAATTCATATAAACTTTATGTGAAAAGAATGTAAATTTATATGCCAAAAATATTATTGATATTTATCAAGGTGCTAGGATTGGAGGTCTCTCAGAGAGTGTTTTCCTTTATCTTACAAATATTCTGCACAATGGCCATGTGCACCTTATTTTTAGAAAAAGAATGTGGAATATTAACAACTAAACATCAAAACCTAAAATGTTATAAAATGTCAAGTAATATAAGGGAAAGGTGGCTTCTGTGGGATACCTTTTCTTAAAAATATATTTCTGATTTTTTTTAAACATTTAAAAAATATTTTGTCTTAGTAAGAGATGTTATCCTGTATGCTATTAGTTTGTGAAACGCCTACTCTGAGCCTATTGATTTCAGAGAGGAAGGGAGAGGGAGAGAGACAAAAACATCAATGGTGAGAGAGAGTCATTGACCATCTGCCTCCTGCATACACCTTACTGGGGACTGAGCCTGCAATCAGGCATGTACCCTTGACCAGAATCAAACCTCTGACCCTTCAGTCCACTGGCCAATGCTCTATCCACTGAGCCAAACTGGCTAGGGCTTTCTGATCTTTTTTTTTTTTTAAGTATATTTTATTGATGTTTTACAGAGAGGAAGGGAGAGGGATAGAGAGTTAGAAACATCGATGAGAGAGAAACATCGATCAGCTGCCTCCTGCACAGCCCCTACTGGGGATGTGCCCCCAACCAAGGTACATGCCCTTGACCAGAATCAAACCTATGGACTGAAGGTTGACGCTCTATCCACCGAGCCAAACCAGACAGGGCTCTAATTTTTTTTTTTTTAGTGTAAATTGGTAGTGAGCCCAGGGAGCCTCATATGTATTACATGTTCCTTAAGTACATCTATAATGGTTATTTTGACATAAATTGTTCTTAAATGACCTAGTCGATGATGAAGATGTGATGGTCTCTTCCTCAATCCTTAAGGCCTGGACCATTTGCTGCTCCTTCTAACTCCTGTGAAGAGATTGAAATTCTTTTTCTCAGGGCAGGGCCTTCCTTCCTAATTCATGCCTTTCACCCAGCTTCTCTCCCAGGTCACCGGCACCATCTCTTCATTTGTTATACCATCAGTTTAATGCCTTTTCCCCCTTTTCTTCTTCCTTTCCTGACACCAACTCTATATAAAAATGTCCTGAATTTTTTCCGCCTGGGTTTTCTCAAGGATCTATTCTAATGTTTGTATTTCCTGGCTGTGCAGTTTTGCTTTCACCTTAAGTCTGGGTTTAATTAATTTGGAAATTTATTGCCTCTTATCTACACATATTTTTGAACTTCTGCTCACAGGTTTATTTTTTAAAGTTTCTTCTTTGCTTAGATTTGTTTGTTTTACAAATTAATATTGTACCAGGAAACACTTTTATATTTTGACGTGAATATCCTTAACTGAGTGTTAAATAATGAAACTATAAAACTACAATTCAAACAACTGGCAAATGTTTAAATTTAACTATTTGAATTAAACAAAAATGTAACTATTATTAGAAACAACTAATTTAGGAGCAGGAAGGGAGCTTAAAGATCATCTGAGACAGTAGTTCTCCACCCTGGTTTACATTTGAATCACCTGATGGGCCCCACAGGCAGCTAATGTAAATAAGAGAAAAATCTTTCAGGTAGTCTTGTAAAAAAAATAATAATAATAATAATAATAGATGGAGCCACTTTAAAATGGAGCCAGAGCTGCCATTCCAGAGTCGCTGCCCAGAGTCGCTGCCTCAAATCTTTGGAATGTTAAATTGTGGCAAAATCATCTTTGGACTGGGCCTGAAACAACATTGTGTCCCAAAGAAGTATTTGCAAAGATAATAAGAAAGCAGATGTTATGACTATAAGACTGATGACTCACAGACTGAAAATTTTTTAGAATTACTATCACTTTGTTAGCTTTTCTGTACTCAGAGGAAGGCCTTTCTCTGCTGATGTAATTGTCCTTCTTCCCTTTCTCATAAACACCACTTGCTTTTTCTCTTTATCAGAACATTTTGTGGGCTTCTCTCTAAATCATGCTTCCTGAATAGATATTATTTTTGGTCTCAAATAAATGCCTGTTGTCTCTTACTTTGAAATTCATTTTACTTTTAGGTCACAATCTCCAACAAAGCAATTTTTTTTTTTTTTATGTGTGCCTCCCAGATAACTATTCTGTTATTTTTAGAACAATTTAATAATGTTTATAGGCTCTATTTATTGGCCATAAATACACCTG